CTATATAAAATTTTCACACTGCCGTACTCTAACAGAACTATCAACTCTGTACTTTCATCTCCTCATCTATCGTATAAAAATTACCACTTTAGTTTGTTATTTGAAATTAAATTCTATTATTTTTTCCAGTTTCCTATTTTTAATTGAAACTAAGCGATCGGTTCAGCCTTTGATGGTGAATAGGAGAACGCCAAAAGAGTGCTGTGAGCTGAAATTTTTACCGTGAGACATAGGAAGCGGGTCACCTTTTCACTCGCTTTTTCACTTTTCCTGATAAATTGATTCATCTGAGATTACTGGTTATGACCTTCCGGATTTCTTGTGTATGAATAGTTTAGGCTCAAATCAGATCATATCTGTGTAAAATCGTTAAATAAGACAACTCAAAATCTGCTATTTATCAATTTAATCTAGATAAACACGTCATTGGGACGGTACTAACGGATATTTTTGGTTGCTATTGAAAATTTAGTCGACCGCTGAATTTATGCATGGGTTCATATTAGGGGCATTTAGGCCGACATTACATTCATTTCCTCTGAACAGAAAAAAAAAAATTTGGTGACCAGTTTGGTAAAAATAAATGCTACCTACACAATTTTTTTTTCTTTTTTAAAAAGTTTACATTTCGTAAAAATCTACATTTTTTGGTTTTGTGCATGTGAAATAAAATGCCGCAACTTTTTTAATAGCGACATCTTTTGCGAAAATCAAGCCGGCTGTTTATCTATTGGAATGAGAAACATTGTATTGCTTTATTTTGTGCATTTTGATGTTCGTCAACATATCATGCTGAAAATTGCATTAGGTCTTAGCTAACATTGATCGAATCTCTACGTCGACTTTCTTTTTCGTTAATAACTTGAGTATATAAACGTTTCTTGTTTTGTTTGTTGTATTAGATGCTAGATAAAAGCTTATTTTATAGATCAGTTTGCTGAAAATACGTGGGAATGTCTTTACATGCAGTTGGGGATACAAAGAGAAAGTCGAGGAAGAGAATCTGTCAATGCTACTTAGGACATAATGCAATGTTCAGCTTGGTATAGCAAGCATTTTATACCTTGTACAGACATACAAAGTACACTGTTGTACCATAGAGGTAACTCTAAGACCACTGGGTCCCGAAGAAAATCATTATTATTTTTGGCTCACTCAGTACCAGAACAACGGTCCCAAGCAGTCCCAAGCTATTTCACTCACCCCTGCATGTTCTGCATGAATCCACACACCCCTGATGTTATCTGTCAAACTTTCATAGCGAATCAAAACAAACATAGTGTAGTAATAGAATTTCTACTAGAATAGGGTACGTTAATCGTTTGCTTGGGACCAATAGGCTACTAAAGTGGTGAGCCAATTTAAAATCGTTAGTTTCGTATTGATTGTTGGTTGTACTACCGTTGTATTTCTTTAAGCTAGTACCTCAAATTGTACCTTTTGAGGTACTCGATTAAAGGAGTACAACGGTACTGCTTTGTATGTCTGTCAATGGTATTATACCATTGACAGACATACAAAGCAGTACCGTTGTACCATAGAGGTAACTCTAAGACCACTGGGTCCCGAAGAAAATCATTATTATTTTTGGCTCACTCAGTACCAGAACAACGGTCCCAAGCAGTCCCAAGCTATTGCACTCACCCCTGCATGTTGTGCATGAATCCACACACCCCTGATGTTATCTGTCAAACTTTCATAGCGAATCAAAACAAACATAGTGTAGTAATAGAATTTCAACTAGAATAGGGTACGTTAATCGTTTGCTTGGGACCAATAGGCTACTAAAGTGGTGAGCCAATTTTAAATCGTTAGTTTCGTATTGATTGTTGGTTGTACTCCTTTAATCGAGTACCTCAAAAGGTACAATTTGAGGTACAAGCTTATACCATTGACAGACATACAAAGCAGTACCGTTGTACCAGGGGGTGGAAACTAACGATTTTAAATTGATTCACTGCTTGAGTAGCCTATTGGTCCCAAGTACTTCTATGGCGTACCCCATTCTAGTTGAAATTCTATTACTACACTATGTTTGTTTTGATTCGCTATGAAAGTTTGACGGATAACATCAGGGGTGTGTGGATTCATGCACAACATGCAGGGGTGAGTGCAATAGCTTGGGACTGCTTGGGACCGTTGTTCTGGTACTGATTGAGCCAAAAATAATAATGATTTTCTTCGGGACCCAGTGGTCTTAGAGTTACCTCTATGGTTGTACTCCTTTAATCTAGTACCTCAAAAGGTACAATTTGAGGTACAAGCTTAAAGATATACAACGGTAGTACAACAGTGTACTTTGTATGTCTGTACAAGGTATTAGATGCAATTATTTTAGGTCCCATGTAATTTGTTATCCCTTCAGTACACCGAAAATAGTTTTCATGTAGCTTCCATTGGAAACGCAAATGATTTTCATCCATAAACAAAAATTTTTCACTTCAGTATCCAGTAGTTCTGGCAACCATGCCAAGTGAAAGTGGTTATAGTGCATTATATTTGTTAAAAATATGTACTCCCAAGCTTCTCCTAAATACAAACATTAGGGTTTACAAGCTCCTCCTAAATACAAACATTAGAATGGTCGCATCGCCTGCTTAGATAAGCGCGTTAAGGTTCTACAAAGGGTCATTATTTTGTTTACTTCTTCTTTTTGAAATATTCTTCGATCATCATTTTCTAAATGTATAGGTAAAATTCATTGGAAGTGCATGTCCCCACGCCAAAACTGCCCATTTTTTATAAATATCAACTGGTATGGTGAGGAAAACTTAACCATCTCTTTTCTTCCTTCATTTCAATACAACAGCAAATGTGATGTCACACTATCTAGTGGATAAGAATGTAGCAGACAAAACATAAGCACTGCCAGACTGCGCTATATGCAAGTTTGTTTACACCCCTGAGCGGGAAAGTGTATAACAGGCTACGTGCACTGCTGCCATCATTCCTGTTAGTGTTGAATTCAATCTTCTGTGACTTTTTTAATTAGACCGGTAAAATGTTTAAAATGGTCATTTATGTTTTATTTAATCAGTTTTTGATATTTATCCACCATTAAATACATCCACTCATCTATGTTAATAAGGCAGACTTCGCAATTAATTGTTTTAATAAACTTAAATTCATTGCTAGAGGCAATACATCTGGCACCGCTGTTTCAATGATACTTTCACGATTGCTAGCAAAGCAGTAAAGTAGCAATGGTTTTCTTTGTGATGAATTTTGTTCACCAAGAGTTTTGTGAAGCAGTTGTTTTGAGTTTCGTGTATTCGATTGCGTTTAATTGTGCTATACTTCGAAGAACACAAGTAAGTACATACAGTGAATGTGTTTTCCCCAGGAAATTTTCGTGTTTTACCCACGAAATACATGTTTTAAGTTTTCGTATGCATAATATATGAATGTATGTGTAAACTAATGATGATGATTTTATGATATTTAAAAAAGAAGAAGAACACACAATTACTTACCCTTTGTAGAACCTTAAACGCTGGCCAGACTGAGCAGTTATAACATGTTATAACGGCTGTCAAATAATTGCAACACAGAAACCATCATCAAGCTAGCGCTATAACATGTTATAACTCTGCAGTCTGAACGTACTATTAAAGTATATACATGACACTTCCAGTATGCAATCTACGAATTACTCCATTACAAACGCAACGCAATTTATTCGATGCTAACGCTAAAATTGTGGTCGCGCTATTTATCGCTGATGAAAAATAATTCAGAAACCATGCTACCTACCTACTTGCTTGGCAGGTGTTTTCACTACGCGTCTCTGTGTATCGTCTCTGGTTGAGAATGGGTGAGCTTCAGTACTCGCTTCACTATGTAGAACAGTGCAGAATTTATAAATCATTACCCCAAACATTTGATCACCAATATCAGTGCGAGAATCGCAAACCTATCGCTGCACGGACCCCGTTATCGTGAATGGACAATATGATAACATAAATTGCTGTCCAAATCGACAGCAAATTGTCACGTTTAATACTCGCGCCATTCACAATCGATTTAGTGCCTATCTGCTTATAAACTAACCAGTGGCGTTGGCGGAGGGGGGCGACGGCGTTCTGCTCCTGATTTCACCCTTAGAGGGATAGTTAAAATTTTCAATTTCTTATAAAATTAAACTGTTACCCCAAAAATAATGAAAATAGCGAAAATTTAAGGATTATGAGGTATATCAGAGATGTCCAAAAAAACATTTCTTCTGACATCTCGGATGTATCTCCTAATCCTTCAATTTTCGTGGAAGGTTTTTACATCTTCGACCGCAACATTCTTCTAACTTCTGCCGGGAAGTTTCTTGCAACCTGTTTTCGAAGTTTAAATAAACCTTTCCCGGAAGTTCTTAGTAAATCCTTATCATCAGAATGGATTAATTTAAAAAGCCACTCACTAGTCACATGCATATTTTTTTTCTCCAATGAACATCAAATCCATTCCTGAGATCCTCCGATCGGCCGATTTTCGAGAAACTGTCTGTCAAAATTGATTCCTTGTCTGTCAGAAATAATTCTGCTGGATAAATTTGTACCAACAGGTCTGTTCCTTTAAAATGGAGAGAATTCTGCTGGAATAGCAGTTTTATTAAAAAAAATGCATCTGTCAAATTTAAGATGGAATTAGTCTTCTATAAGGGTGTTGCTAAAAAGGTAATTTTTTTCTGTTTGATAAGGGGTTATTCGCGCATAACCCACCCGGTTATCAACAAATCACGCTACGCCACTGAAACTGAGTAGCAGCGAAATGTGGCACTATAGATCAAAAGCCCGAGATTTAAGGGAATCACAACAGTCAGCTGATAATTTACCTGCACCGATGTGAAACAAAAAAACTAGGAATACTCAGCCGCTGTTTTGTGACTATCATGCTGTATTTGACGTAGGTACATATGCATACATCTACAACCTATATGTGGACAACACCATACAGACGAATCCGGACAGTTTTTGCAGTGTGAGATTAGCAGATTCCACGAATCACTGGATGTCGCTGAGCACATACCTATAAGCGCATTATAAGCTTTGAATATAGAATTGCAGTGCTAGTGTGAAACTATACCGCTTTGGTTTTGATATGAACTCTGGGAGTCATCTATTATTGTTGCAGTGCTTTCCAAAACAGAAAAGGGGGCGGACATGTCCGAAGTTTTTCCAATCACCGTGAAATAGCAACCAAGTGAGCATCGAATTGCACTAATCATATTTTAATGGCATCGAGGGAGTGAACTTGCAGCGAATAAAGTGAAATTAATTAGCGTAAATTCTTCATTGTTCTTCCTTTTTAAAAAAATTAATTTAAATTTGAGTTTGTTGATTAATAATGAAAAATCTCGCAGTCGGTTCGGAAGATAGCGTCGCGATTAAAAGTAAACGAACCCTCTTTGAAACCGTGAAGCTCCTGTTGAACACTGTAAACCATGCATTTATTGGCTTTGTCTTCATCTATACCATGTGGATTTGCTCAAGAAATGGATTTCAGTTGATCTTTACATGGCACGTAATTTTATGCGTGTTTGGAGTACGTATATCGAACAAATGTGAAGATGATCAAATTAAATAACACTTGTTATTGATTCCCACAGTTTCATGTGATGATGGCGGAATCGATCATGGTGTTCTATTCGGGTACCTCGTGGGCACAAGCCCTGACACAACCGCAGCGACGAACGACCCACTGGGTCATGCAAGCCATCGGAAGCAGCTGCATCATTGTCGGCATAGGACTAGAGATCTATTGGCGCCAAATCAATAACAAGATCCACTTCCACGGGGCTCACTCGATCCTGGGCCTCGTGTCGTTGATCCTGCTGGTGCTGAGTATGGGCAACGGACTTGGTTCATTGTATGCAATGGAGTTGAGGAAAAGGATCAAACCGATCTACATGAAGCTGAGTCATCATTTCATCGGAATGGCGTGTTTCGTTCTTGGGATGGCAGCTATTGTGTTGGGCTACGACAAACGAATCTATAGAGCAAATTCAACTCCTGAGCTGCAGGTTACGTTGCAAGTGTTCACAGTTTTGGTGATATTCCTCAGTGTTCCGGGAGTGCTGCGAACGATGATCACACAGGCGAAGACTTTGCTGCGGTGATATGAACAAAATAAATATAAGCTTGATGAATAGTGCATGTATTTTGGGTTGATTTCATTCAATGCATGAAAGATTTTCCCAAGGCCGGTATTAATTTTTATTCCACCTTTTACGCTAAATATAGATTCAAACTATAAAAACTTGAACTGATACTCTAAGGAAGCCTTAGCGTGAAACTTTAAAGGCACAAATGTCAGCTACCACAAAACATACAAATTTGAAATTGCTACTCCTTGTTTGCTGTGCTATTACAAACAGAGAGTAATAATTTCAAATTTGTATGTTTTGTGGAAGCTGACATTTGTGCCTTTGAAGTTTCACGCTAAGGCTTCCTTAGAGTATCACCTTAACATTGGTCAGCACGTACGGCCCAATACCGAAATACACTTTCATCGTGGTGAATCGGTGATGTACTTTTGAAGGGATCGAATGAGTGTTACGGGTGCGGTTAAAAGTGTAGCGGGAAGTGCAAACCAAATTCCTAAATTTTTAATTTAATAGTTCATGTTCTCCAATTGATGCCAAAACCTGTAAATGCCTAAACACAATGACAGTGGAAACGAAATAACTCGATCCCTGATCTGAGCAAACCATCGAACTACTTGTCGGATGGAAGATACGATAAAATCAAAATTACTTTAATCAGACATGATGAAATTGGTCGCAAATGTCAAAACTTGTCCCTTGCGTCCACATAGCTTCTTCTTCTTATTCGCATTTCAAGCTTATTGCTTAGTGCATATTAGATTATTGCGTGCTCTCAACTTAGTGTTCTAAATGCACTTCCTCAGTTATTAATTGAGAGCTTTCGATGCCAATTTCCAATGCATGAATTTCTATATTGTGTGGCAAGCACAAGGATACTTTATACCCAGAGAAGTCGAAAAAATTTCCAAATCGAAAGATTCCCTCGACCGGACCGGGAATCGAACCACCACCTCCGGCTTGGTAAAACCGTGCCTTTACATACCGTTCGGGCTTTAATTTAATTAATGTTAAAACCGAAGCTTTTAGAACGAGAATGATTAACTGTTCTAATTCCGTGAAGAAGATGAACACTTCGAAACGTCGGAGGATAGACAAGTCTACCGTATGGGTGATAATATTCTTGTGCTCGTCGGCCACGTCTTTTACCGGAAGAGAACTAATATACCGGTCGGTTCTGGAATTTGATACGGGATCGACGGTAAACATGCTCTCGTCGGTGAACAGGATTACCGGATTTTTTCGCTTAAGGAAGTTCAAGATTTCCTTGCATCGTTCGACTCGTAGCTCCCGGATGCGGTTGGTTATCATGTGAGTTTTTTCCGTGCCCTCGACTTCGCCCCGCAATCTTTCTTTACGGTCTTCCGTGCCGTAAAGTCACTGATCCCGTGTTCCTTATTGAACGCACTAGATTCACCCGAATCTTCTTTTGATAGCAGCGATATCCTTCGGAACCCGAGCTGACCTCGGACGACTTGTGGCCACCTTCGCGGATAGTTGTCCTTTCTTTTCTCGGTCTAAAACCCTTTTGACGGTCCACCGGGACACTCCCACGGCGATTGAAATGTCTTTTTGCGACATTTGCGCGTGGGCCAAATCACGAATACGCTGCCACTTCGTCATGGTGAACTGTCAAACTAAGTAGGGTAAACGCTCCTATAGTTGCGGTACGTTAGAAGCGTTAGGTTCCTATAGTTGTGTATTGCGTCTCCATACACAACTATAGGAACCTAACGCTTCTAACGTACCGCAACTATAGGAGCGTTTCCCCTAAATCATTTTCTTTTATACACATCCTACTACGGTATGAGCTATAGGTTACGTGAATACACAGAAAAAAAGTTGTTGAATATTACATCCAAACAGCTGCACAGAGATCATTCCGACGGTTATGTAATATTACGTTGTACGATGTACATCGATTTTGCGAACAAAATTACATCCATTGATGTAATATTTTATCTATTACATCATTATTTCATACATTAGCTTGAATTACGTTGATCGATATTACATTTGTTTTTGCTGTGTAGGGTGGCCAGATTATTTTTTTCATTATCGGTAGCTTCTCAAAACTTCTATCGGTAGTTATCGGTAGGCTGTCTTAAGAAGGCTTTCCCGGTACTTGAAACCTTTGTGAGCGGGGGGTGTGTATTGCTCTGCTTCAGAACAATACACTGTATTTCAGTTCTTCTGCTTTAAACGTGTCGAAATCAATATTTCTAATGGATCAATGAAAAAGCTTAGGTTTTGACAGAACTATGCTGTGGCTACCACAGTATTTTACATTTGATCGTCCATATACAGTAGCGCCAAAAGCATGCTGTGGTGGGTTCAAAACTTGACTATCTAAAATGATCAATTCTGACTACACAGAAAACAAAACATACACCCATAGAGGTAACTCTAAGACCACTGGGTCCCGAAGAAAATCATTATTATTTTTGGCTCACTCAGTACCAGAACAACGGTCCCAAGCAGTCCCAAGCTATTTCACTCACCCCTGCATGTTCTGCATGAATCCACACACCCCTGATGTTATCTGTCAAACTTTCATAGCGAATCAAAACAAACATAGTGTAGTAATAGAATTTCAACTAGAATAGGGTACGTTAATCGTTTGCTTGGGACCAATAGGCTACTAAAGTGGTGAGCCAATTTAAAATCGTTAGTTTCGTATTGATTGTTGATACACCTGTGTTCAATATAATAGCAGCGCATGCCGATTTCCATACAAAATGTTCAACTTTGACAAGTTGTAACTTTGTTTTACGATCAATTGAGCTGAAAAGTTCGCCACAGAACTACAAATATGTTCAATTTACGATTACCAAATATCAAATTTTTGGAAGCACCTGCCGGAAAGTGAGACACGAGGTAAAATTGTTAAAAATAATAGCAGTACTAATAATTTGCATTTCAGCTCAATTTTGAGATTTTAAATTTTACACTACTCAAAATTCTAACAATCCCCACCAATCAGCTCAATTGATCACTGCTGCTGCTGCTGCAACCTCGAACTTTGCGCGTCGACAAATCTCGATTACTTTTCGGAAGGACATATCAGCATCTAATACGACAAACACAACAAGAAACGATCCTGTGCTCAAGCTATTGGCGTTGACGAGAGCTCTGTAACTCTTTACTCCTATGGAGAAATCTCATATGTAATCAGTCTATGTGTGAAACATGGCGGACTTTTTCTTATTCTCTCACTCCAACGCAAAATTTTTCAAATAAACTTGCTATTCCAGCAGACTTATTTCTGACAGACAAGGAATCAATTTGACAGACGCTTTCTCGAAAATCGGCCGATCTACAACAGAGGGGTTTTCGAACATCTTAATTTATTTTCGAAGTATCAAATCTAAGTGAAAATTTTCCAAATGGAACACAGCCTTCGTATTTTTTTTCTATTTGTTCAATCGGTAGATAAAAGATGTACCGAGAACTTATTGGAGGGTTCATGGCTAATTGATATCATCTCGATCAACTATGAAATGTTGCATAACATTGATGCAAAATTTAGCACTCCGTTTTTGTGTGTGCATTTATTTTTAGCGTTTTGAAGTTGAATCGCTGAGGATCAATCTCATTACCATAGAAAAATTTCAAGAGTACAGATATCAGCTCTCACAAAACTTATAACAAAGAAACTGGAACTTCACGTTTGTTGCAGTCCAGTACACAAGGAGTTTCAATTTCATGAATGATGTCACAACCGTCCAAGATTCATGTCCTAGAAATCTTGAAGTGATAGGGAATATCAGCCATCATGACGGTCATTGTTGGACGCTTCAATGAATCACCTGAAGAAAGCCTTACTCATATCTGATTGTAATTTAGGAACCAAATGAAATAGAATATGTATTCGCATTTGCTAAGTAGCAAATACAAAATATGTACATAGGACCAAAATCATAGGTTACTTCTACTGTATTTTAAATCAATATCTAGAAAAAATGCACGAGAATTTCACTACACAGCTTAAAGTAGTCTACGTCAACCCTGCGGTCGTGTCTTGCACTGAAAAAAGTTTTCACTTAGTTGCTATTTGGAACGCACATAGTATTTTTCCAAAAACAAAACCAATGATTTTTACCTGAATATCACATAACATTAGAAATTATATATGAGAAATCATATAGATTTCATTGGACACATAACGTTCATGTGATTTAGTGGTGCAATTTTCAATTATGGGATCACATGAAAGTTATGTGAAATTCACATGGATATTTTCCACTGGTTATGTGATTTATTTTATGAGTGTGTACACAACCCCACCAATTTTTCCATTAACAAAACCAATGATATCTATCTAAATTTCACATAACATTCATGTGATCGCATGAGTTCTATATAATAAATCACTTAAATTTCATTTGATTTTGTGGTGTTATTCCCAATTACGATATCACATGAAAGTTATGTGAAATTCTAATGAACATTTTCCAGTGCACTGAAACAAATCGACATGTACCGTTTATTGGATCCATCTTTTAACATAGCACTGTCAGCAGATTTATTCATTCTATGTGATGATTGATAGATTCCATCGGATTATCACTTAAAAACTATGACTGCGATATGGAATGATTTCTATCGTAATTTCATATACTAAGTACTTGATAAAACTTTGCTTCGAACGTGGTTAGCGATAGGTAAGATGTATATGAATATTGTCTGATATATTTCATGGTGAAAAACTGGTGATATGTAATAAGTGTGAACAGACATCTAGAAACTAATGGAAAATCATATGAGTTTGCACTATGAGAAAATTCAGTAAAATATTCCTGTTTTCATGATGAATATTGCTCACTAAAAGATATATCTTATAAGATAATCATGTATATTTTATTGGAGTTGCTTTTAACGATTTTTGACGTTTGTTGATATGTCGCATGTAAACGGACGTGTAGAAACTATTGAACTGTCATTTAACTTTGCAGTATAGGAAAACATGTATATTTCATATCTCATTGGAATAGCTTCCTTTGATTTTTGAGGTTTAAAGATTGTAAACAGATCTATCCCAATCATTATATAGTCATATAG